TACCATGAACACAGACGTTCAGACATTACTGGATTGGAGGGGTGGAGGATACTTTTGACAAACAACTCCTCAGCCTTCTCAGCTCTCACATCCCACCTGTGTTCTTACCCAGGATCCTTTGGGGGCAGCAGGCCCAATACAGCGGGCAGACGGATGGAGAGCTTATAGCTGGACCCTTTACACACAGGGCAGGAGAGAGACTCTGGTTTTATCTAACATTGCTACATTGCTTCTTGGTCAATACTCATTTCAGATTATTACTAATGGGGTAGAGAAGGGAGAATTTAAATTATTTGAACTAGTGTGCATTTACCAGTGGGGCTTAGATCTTTTTGATTAAATTCAATCATAGACAATAGAATACTAATAAAAGTGGCTGTTATTTTCCTTTGCTTTAACACTCAACAGATTCAATGTGGATTTGTTGGATTAGATTAATATTAATGACTTACATTTATTTATTGATCTGCAGTTTTCAAAGGATGTGAATTCTCATTTTAAATAGCAAGAACCCCAGGCAACTATCACATTCTGATTCTTCTCTTTTTATCTATGGAATCCACAGGCTCTAAAAAGAATTCTACTTTGAGAAACATTTTGCCTCCTTTGATGATGACAGTATCTTTGTCATATTTGCCTAAGTCCCTCTGATAAAGTGTTCACTTCTCACTGACAGTAATGACAAACAAGAAATTTCAACACAGCACATTTTTGCTCATTTGAACTTTTAGTGTATTTCCAAGTTATGGTCTCCTTGTCAGATGTGGCCAGAGGGGACCCCCATATGCCTTTGACCTGGCACTCTCAGATCCCCAGAGAGTTCCAGAGAGTTCCTGGGCCTGCATTTCTATCCAGAGGGCTTTCTCCAAGGAGCAGAACAGGCAGATAGATGAAGTACACTGCTGAGGGGAGCAGCGGGCGGGTCAGGAGAGGTCTGCCACGCCATGTGGTCAGGCAGGCGGGAATCGAACTCATGCGGAAGTAGCTTTAGCTTCTCAGTGCAGTGCTTTAACCCCCTGCGCCACCAGGGAGGGCCAGTGGTACAGGATCTTAACAAGCTCTGGGACCAGCCCTCAGCCAACTATGACAGGTATTGCTCATAAGTACCCCCAACCCCCTGGAAGTTCCAATCTTGAGGGGGGAGAACTGCCTCCCACTCTCTCCAGTGGGAATAAATTCCAGCCAACATGGTAGCTTATTAGAATTGCACTATTCATTGACTTTCCCCTTCTCTGTCTCACTCTTTTCTCTCTCTCTTTTCTCTCTCTCCTTGCCCTTAAACCCTTGTCTCAGAGTTCGCTTCTGAAGAAACCTAAACAGAGACCTTCTTGAAAGTGCATTTTACTAGGACCCTGAGGTAGCTCATCCTAGCTAAACTGTTAAATCACCTAACAAGGTGTAAAGTTGCCTGCTAATCCTTTGCTCAAACAATTTTCAAGCTGATCACTGTCCACTGATTTTATTGTTCTCCTAGGTAGCTCTATTTCACTTACCATCCTCATTCTGTTAATTACAGTATAAAATTTTTAATTAAAGATAAAGAGAATGCAGGCCCTCCCTGGTGGTGCAGCGGGTTAAAGCGCAGCACTAAGAAGCTAAAGCCACTTCAGCATGAGTTCGATCCCCACCCTGGAGGTGACCCACAAGGAGCAGCAGCAGATCTTGCCTGACCCACCCACTGCTCCCCTCAGCAGTACACTTCATCGATCTGCCTGTTCTGCTCCCCACTCTGTTTCTGGTGAGGCCTCTCACCATCCCTGTGCCTCTGGCCTGTACCCCAGTTCTGTATGCAGAAATAAATAAATCTTTAAAAAAAATAAAGAGAATGCATTTGCCTAGTAGCTTTAAGGAAAAAACAAACAACAGAAACCCAAAACAACAAAACAAAACTCCAAACAAAGAAGCCCAAAACACAGTTCAGTTTCAGGTTCTCTGCTAAGGAATTCAGATACTCAGTGTTCTCACTTAGATTAAGAAAACCAGAAAAATTTCCCAAACAATGTGTAATTATATATACTCAGGTTCTAAGTGCTTGATAGATATTGAAGACTCAGATGTTCCACTCGATGCAAGTTGTCAAAATGTGCACTATTTAGGGAAGTCACATTTTCTGTTGAGTTCCTAGGTATCATCCAGTTTAAGATAAGCATAAACTCAGCAACTCCTCACCCACAGCCTCTTCAAATAGCCATGAACCTTCTTCTGAACATTTTCACTACTACTGGGGAGAGTTTATTCCTTTAATTTGTTAACTTAATTAGACAGTTCTTTCTTTAACTAGACTAAAATCGTCCTCTTACCGTTGTCACTATTGTTGGAAATTTTCTTGGGAGAAATCAGTGAACAAGTTGGACTCCTCAGCTCATGCAAAACATTGGAAAGCTTAGTTGATGTGTGTCTTACTTTGTCTTGTGCACCCCCTCTTTCCAACTCCCTTTATCATGTTATGGTTTCCTTCCCTTTACTGTCCATGTCACTATCAGTCACGTTTTCTCTTAAAATAAAATACCTGGCCTTCCCTGATAGCTCAACAGGTTAGGATGCAGCACTGCAAGCTGGCCACAATCACTTCAGTGGGAATTCAACCCTGGACCTGGAGGTGACCCACATGACGCGGCAGACCTCTTCTGATTTGCCTGCTGCTCGCCTCAGCAGTGTACTTCGTCGATCTGCCTGTGAGGTGACCCACATGGCATGGCAGAACTCTCCTGACCCGCCCACTACTCCCCTCAGCAGTGAACTTCCTCGAGCTGCCTGTTTTGCTCCCCACTCTGCCTCTGGTGAATCCTCTCACCACCCCTGCACCTCTGGCCTGTACCCCAGTTCTGTATGCATAAATAAATCTTTTAAAAATGAATTAAATTTTCAAAAAGAAAGAAAGAACTGAAAGCCCAAATACCAAGAATGATGATATGGCTAGTTTTGAGTGTTTTATGCTTTCCTAAGTTTTCTACAAAGAACAAGTATTTGTTTTTTAATTAGAATAAATATGTGTACTTTTAAATAAACAGAAACAACAACAAAAAACATGACACCCTATAGAGCTCCTCCAGGCTATTGTGATACTGCAAATTTGAGGGGAGCTGGCACCTCTCAATTTGGATGCCTTGCTCTGCAATTTCAGGCTAGGATTTTTGCCAGATAAATCACAGTGTTGATTAGCTTTGCACTTGCACCTCATCAGAGCCCCAGAGGTATTTTTCCCACTTGAATGATGATCTCCTTTTAATCTGATAACTGGTTTTGGGAGTGGCCTGGCACAGAAACCCCTGGACCGGGAGAGAGAGGACACATGCTCAGGTTCGTGTCCATGTCAGTGGACACCACACAGGCTGGAGGGAAGCTGTGTGCTGTGAGCTTTCCAGCCCGACTGGCAGCCACCCTAACCTTGAAACCCTACAAGCTGCACAGTGCAGCCTCACTGGTTTGTGAAAGCGAACAGAACCCTATTTGGTGGCTCTGGGAGGTGCTGGGTCTTGGGGATGGCAGGAGCCTTGGGCAGCTGCAGCTGAGCCAGGGAGGAGGATACAAATGCCTCTTGTGCAGGGTCTACCCTCCGAGTCTGAGCTTGCTGCCCCTGCAGTTATTATGTGGCCATTTCTTCCTATGGAAGAAAGGTTTCTGCATTTCAGAGCCTTGGAGGAAATGCAACATACATTTCTCAGAATCCCCTTTGGAGAAATCTCCAGCGCCCTCCAGGTACTGTGCAGGCAGAGAAAGGGAGGGCAAAAGAGGAGGCAGCCGGTAGAGCAGACTCCACAAGGAAGCAGAAGGGACAGCCGAGGCTGTGTGCGCTTACAGACAGGAAAGGATGACACAGAGAGGCGAGGAGAGCGGCTTCCTCAGCCACTGTGGGCAGACTTCTCAGGCAGAATCGACAATTCGCAGGAAATATTTAACTGTCTTATCCATAGGAGGGATCCTCATCTCTGGGAACAGAGCTTTGGTGTAATTTCTGTCACGCATCCCTAACAGCATTTTGGCTGGATGGTGCCAGTGATTCAGTGAACTTAAAAATATTATTAAAAAAAATCTGTTTCCTGATGGCCCAGGCACAAAACTCATGAGAAACCTTTCTTCTCTTTTTTATAATATGGACACATAAACCTCACAGACGTGTAACCCAGATGTTGGTCCCGAAGCATTTCTGCTGGTGAATCATCTTTTCACGACCCAAATGCACAAGTTCTCCTAAGTGTGAGTCTCGTCAATTATTCAAATAATGTTAAACAAACAATAAGCAAACATACTTAGATCTGGAGGGTACAGGAGCAGTACTTTGGATCATTTAATGTGAACACACCAATGCTGGAACAGTGTACTCCCCGGGGTTAAAGCTAAGCGATTGTTGATAGTCATAAAGTTTATAGGTTTCATCAGGAAGGTAGTGTCACTTGTGGGCAGAGATGGCAGGAATGGTATTTCCTGTGACTCTGTTCTTATTTGTCAAGGGAGACTATGCACTATACTAAAACATTGTGGGGGGAGCTAGATTTGGCGTCATCGTAAGCAAAATAATAACAAGAGAAGCAGACTTCATTGCTTTCACAAAGCTATTGTTTTTTGCACTGTAAGCTGCTTCAATTTTTTGGCTTTTTGCCAAAGTTTCATCCAGCAAGAATTCAAACTGCTCATTTCCACCCTGCAATTCAATCGCTTTAGCCAGGGTTGATTTTAACCCTTGTCAAGTTTCTCTTCTTCTCCGCCTGACCTCAGTTTTTCCCTTAGCTGTCTGTTCTTCCAGACCTCAAGTTTCATTCTTTTTCTCCTCCTCAAACCACCTGCCTTTGCCTGCTGCCAGGCCTTAAGTCTTGTCTGTTTGCTGTTGATCTGAGCTGTGGCTCCAAATGGGCAGTTCTAACGTGTGCATGTGACCCTGTGTGCATGCATACACGCACGTGTGTGTACATGAGTGCACGCGTGCACCTGTGTTCCATTTGCAAGGGGTGCCGAATGCTTAAGAAACACGGGTTTCCCCACACACAGTGACTTGTACTTACATAGTTAGAGGCCAGGTCCGGGTGGAGATAGTCAATCCCTGTGAAGAGACAACAGCACAGGTTAATACTTGTTTGTGTACTCACAAAAGCTGCTCAGAAAAGCCCCCTCCTGGTGGGACTGCTGCCAGGGGGCTGGGGAAGGTGAGTGCCTGGGCCCGAGGCTCCGCCTGGTATTTCCATTCCCCAGTGAGGGTGAACTGCACTGCCTGAGTGGAGAGGCAGCTGCCACCAGCTGCGTCAGAGGAGTGAAGCCAATTAGAGCTCAGGTCCCCAAGATAACACTTTTGACATAAATGACAGCACTGAGGGGCTTAGTGGCCTCAAGACGAATGGCTCATCAAAGCTGTGATCTGGGAGAGATTTGTGGAAATCCTGACATTTCTAAGGCATCAACTGGCTTTTCTTCTGAAATGAAACTGGCCCCGGGAAGGAAAAGTGATTATTATTTAACAGGGCGTAGACAGCAGTGGATTAGGAGAGCATTCTATGGTATGGAAATAATAACAGGAACACGGCTGGGCGAGAAAAGCTATTAGACCAAGGGGAAATGGTTTTCCGAGCGGTGTCCTGGGTGGGAGCGGAGGCTGATTTCTGTAGTATGTGCCTTTCTAGAAAGCCGGAAACCTTGAACCTCTCAGCAGGAGACCTCTGCTTTCTCCTGGAAGCAGACCTGTTTTGTTTTCCAATAGAGATTGAATTATAGCCTCTCAATACTGCTGGGTTCCATCAGACATGTGGACCTCAGAAAGCACCGTGATGCTTCAAGGGCAAATTGAAAAGCTCTCACCCAATTCTGCAAACCAAATAGTTAGATCTTCGAGAAATCATCCAGGTCCCTGCACTACCTGGTACGTGGTTATGAGTTTAGTTTTGGAATCAAAGACCTGCGTGTACCGCCCTGCTAACTGGCTGCATGACTAGAGGCGTGCTGCTTACCTGCTTTGTGCTGGCTTTATCCGCAACCTGGTGAGGGGGAGAAAATTGTGGCATGCTTAGCCCAGTGGCATTTAATGACTCTTATTGGGTTGGCAGTATTTAAAAGCTAGAAATAGCATCAAGTCCCCCTCATTACTGGCATCTTTACTACATGCTTACTAAGGCCAGACTTTTGCCCTTCAGAACAGAACTTGTGGAAGGACGTAAGTTTTGATAAAGAATATTTCCTTTGTTAATTTCCTGGCATAAAGAATTTTGGGACTGGTCAATCTGGGTAGAGTTGAGCCTCAGCACAATTTATAAGACCAGAGGTCTAGTTTTATTTCAGGCTCAGGTACTAATATTTGTGTGTTGTAAACTCCAAGCCCCAGTTCCCTCGTCTTGAAAGCAGTTTTCAAGATTAGAGTCAGTTTATTGAAAGGGTTCAGCTTATAGTACACATTTGATCAATTATTTCTTATTATCATTAGTACCATCCTTTACCATATCACTAGAATGATGTGGATTATTTAGAAGGGAAGATATGATGTAAAAATAAAACTCTACTTGGTTTTAAAATATTGTGTTGAAATTAACTTGTATATGTTTGTTGAAATCAGGTAAAGTCTGTGGGTTCATTGTTGGGATAAAATAGATTCATGTTTTTTGAGGCAACATGGATGGAACTGGAAGGGGTGATGCTGAGCAAAGTAAGTCAGAAGGAGAAAGATAAATATCAGATGGTGTCACCTATATGTAGAATATGGAGACACTAAACGAAAGGTCAAAGACAAACCTTGAAAGCTGACTGTAGATCTGAGGTACTCAGGAGAAGGGACTGGCGAGGGTGAGGGGTGTGGAAATAGGAGTGGGGAGGGCACAGTGGACTCTGACTGAGCTACCAGAGGGAGGTGGTGGGTGGGAGTAGAGAGGAGAGAGAGGCCCAAAGGAGGGTTACTGGAGTTTTGGAGGGGAGTGTGGTGAAGTAATATTCACGTGTCAAGCTGTAAACCTACACCCTCGGACATGTTATTGTAATATAAATCAACATTACCTCAGCAAATATAACTTTGCCAAAAAGAAAAAAGAATGGGCTGGTTACATAAATTGTGGAAAGTCCGATAAAATACTGTGTAGGGATTCAAGATATTATGTATGTTGGCATTAAAGGAGAGCCACAAAACACTCTTAAATTTTAAAAGGGAGTTACAAAATAAAGTATGATTCTATTCTGTTATTTTATGTGTTATATAAACACATACAAGTATTTATGAAGAAAAAACACATGTACCAAGACGTGAACTGATTAGTTCAGTGTATTGACTTTATGACTGATTTTATTTTCTTATTTTTAATTATTTATATCTTCTGATTTTTACATATTTTCTATAATGGAAAATGTGTTACTTGGATTATAGAAAAAATTTAAATAAAACAAAAAACCCTCTGTAACTAAAGAGAAGCTAAACAAAAGAAATGAGCTACACATAGAAAATTTAAATTTTTTCTAATAGCGTTGATTTTCAAACCATGACTCCATGTTCTGAGAGTGCAAACTGCTTAGAAGAGAAATTTTCTAAGAGTAGTCTCTTTTCCGTGAAGAGAAAAATATTGAAATGAGATAATTCAAGACCAGAAGGAAATTAGAATGAAAACAAAATAAATTTAGCCTCATTAAAAATCCCTTTTTTAATTAGGCTCAGGGAAAGCCAGCCGACACAGACTTGGTCTTTGATCTGAGGGAAAAAAAAAAAAAACAACAAAAAACACCACTGACAGAACTATGAAGAATGATAGATATGATTCAGAAAAAACAATAAACTAAAGTGTAAGAATAATAACCTGGTAACCAAACAGTATTTTAATATTTTTGTGTATTTGATTATCTCCTGAGGTGGAAAGCACTGAATACATCATCTTAATCTGCTTACTCATTTTTTAATTCTTGTATTAGTAATGTATTCATTCTTATTTTTCACCTTTGCTTTAGTTTATATTTAGTAATGAATGCCCGACACAATGTGGGGCCTGGAAAAACACAGTGTCTTAAAACACAAAACCTGAACTTCACAACTATTGGTGACTCAGTTTATGGAGGACAACTTATCACCAACTAATCTGTGATGCACAAAGGACAAATGCGTGATTTTATTTTTGTTCAGAAGCCTTAAGATCCTGTTACCTGTTTGAATCTTCTCAGGAAGTCTCATCCAGTGGTGCAAGTGTTCAGTAAGTTCTGATGGTTCTGATGGTTTGAGAAACTTCTTGTGGGGAGGGAATTCTACTGCCTAGCTCCTGGTTAGAGTGATCCTAGTTCAGTTGAGAGGTACAACACTAGAGGACTCTGGTTCTAGGTCCATTCTTTCTATTCTCCCAAGAGAGCAAGAGCCTTGTACTATCCTTACCAATGTATATGTTCATGAGAGGTAGGTCTCAATGGCTGAGTGTATTTTTGAAAGATGGCAGTTCAGTATTTCCCATCTGGTCTTCTACAAGATGACAATAGTACCCCCTCTCACTCCTTTTTGAGATAAGTTTGTTCTTTCCTCTTTGATGTGATTTGACTTATTACTGCTTCTATCAATAGGATCCAGTGAATGCCACTGCCTAATTTCTAAAGTTACATTGAAAGAAGCCCAGCACCTTCCACCTGCTCTCTCTGGATGCTTGCTCTGGAGGGAGCCAGTTGCCAAGTAAAGAGCCCATGTGTGGGCACTGTGTTTGACAGCTTCAGCTGAGCCCCAGGGACCGCTAGCTTCAACCACCCACAGGAGCAAGCTGTCTTGGGTGGGATCCAGCTCTGATGAGCCTTTAGATGACGAAGCCCAAGCAATAGCTGACCTCAACTGCATGGATGACCAGAAGTGAGCACTGCTCAGGCATATTCACCCTAAGTTCCTGGGCTGCAAAGTAATTGTCACTCTCAGCTTTTAAGTGTTGGAATTATTTGTTACTGGCACATAACTGCAACATATACCCTGCAGGAACTTCTGAGGGCTGTGAAGTCAGGTTCAAGAGAAGGTATTGTTTCCTATGTGATGCAGAGAGATTTAGAGCTGGTTGTTAAGCTTGTATTGCCACTGACAAGGATGAGGCCCCATTTACAAATCCACCAGGAAGGCAGAAACAAGCACTGAAGACAGTTATAATCAGTTGTGAGACATTGGTCAGTTTCTGCCTCTTAAAACTTTAGCATGTTCATACTGGCTTTAGAAAATAATTATGACTGTGTTTCCTAAAAGCTATGCAGTGTGCAGCAAATACTCAGCAGGCACCAGCTTTTATTGTTATGAAGGCATGGAGCTTTTGCTGACTCCACCTCACTGACTTTCACCTTCCTTGGTTCCATCTGGTATTGGAAGGTCTTGACCTTTCTGACATCTTTGACCTTGACAGCCAATTGCTTACCCTAAATCTTACCTGGCTTGGGTAACTCCTTTCCTAGTGTCAATGTCATGTCTCATTGTCTAGGCCAAGTTCCCAATATCAAACAATTCTATTATAATAAAGGAGATGAATAGGCATTAAATGGGGTTCTCACTGACATGTATGTGACCCAAATGTCACAGCAGACAGACCCTTAAGAAACATTTCTGCTCCTTGGAACAACAGCTAAGCAAGGAGGATCTCTCTTAGTGACATGTAGGACATGGAAATAACATTAAGTTTCACCCAAGTGAAACTTACTGAGATTTTTACTGAGCATCTATTGAATCACTAGGTATAACCAAGGGAACAACAGCCAAGTTTTGAGTTAGGAGACCAGAGGGAGGTGAACAGCTACTGAAAATGACTATCCACAAATTGAATCTTCCAGACAAATATCTGAGTATTTGTCATTAAGCCAAAATACAGAAAATCATGGGTTACAAAATAGTATGTTATTTTTGCTCTTAGGTATCAGGTAAGCATCTCTGCCTATACCTTTACTCTTGTTTTGGAAGGATGTCTTGTTGAGAGACTATCTGGAGAATGATATCATACCACTCCAGTGTGCAGTTAAAAGAGAAAAAGTGGTCCTGATGTTCCCAGTCTCACAGCTCTGCTCCCCGGTCCCAAGTTTTGGAGTAGAGGAGCTCAATTACATGCCAAGAGGGTACTGAGCCTCTGGTCTTGTCCTTGTCATGTGGTAAGCCATTCTTGTCCTAAATCATTTTGCCATTCAACAGTGGATTTGGGGAATGTGTCAGTTCTCATTCTTTTATCTGTTTACTGGTCTGAATAAGTATGTGGTAAATTAAAGTTAGGCACAACTCCTGTCTCTCTCCACACATGGAGGTAGGTATATTTTCCCTCCCCTGGAATCTGGACCAGCCCTGAGATCATTTATCTAACCAAAGTGGCCATGACACTTGCTTATTTTAGATTCAGCCTTTTGGATGGCTGAGAGCATCTCTTCCTTGTCTCTTTGAGTGCCAGTTAGGGGACCCCTGATCATCGGCAAGAAATCCAGTCACCTTGAAAGGGAGACCAGATGGAAAGGTGAGGCCCTGGGACCACAGCAGAAGGGAGAAAGGCAGCATTACCTCATCAGTCTCATCGAGCTTCTGCTGCAATCATAACCTGTACTTGGCAGAACTGAGAGCTAACATGTAGATTGTTTTAAGCAAGTTGGTTTTAGGGTGGCTCATTTTTAGCAGGTGATGACCAGAATGATGAGAAGTTAGGGATTTTAATTGGGAGGCAGAGTTCATCTTTTTGGAACCAGCAGAAGAAATAATAGCAAATAAAACATTCTGCTGAGACTTTCTAAAGGGCTTGGTTTCTTGAGCTCGAAAGTGTGGAACAGAGTCAGGCACTAACCCTTGTTTTGTTATCTTTGGAAGAGAGGATGAGCAGTCAGTCATGGGGGTTACAGCTAAAGAATTCTGAAACAGGCACCACAGAGTCATTGGAAGAGTCCCAAGAGTAATGTCCCTGCCGTGAGCACTGTCCTGCCCTAATTTTAGGGTGCCTCTCTAATCTCTCAGGTGCAGTGTGAAGTGAGCACTGCAAGATAACCCTGATCTCCCTGAGTCTTGCGTGCATCTTTCTCCTGGTGAGCTGGCCTCACCCACTTTGGTTTCTAATCCGAAGCCTAAGAAGGAAGAGTTAAATCACCCTCATCAGCACACCTCTCAGCCTTGAGAGCCTTTGACCACAGGGTGCAAGCTTTCATATGCACTTCGAAACGTCTCACACATCAGAAGACGCTATTGGTTTTGGGTTGCTTTAATAAGCCCACAAAGAGTGCTCATTTCCAGTTTTCCTTATTTCTTCAAGCCTGCTTCAAAGTGTCCTTAGAGGATCTTCAGAAGGAAAGTCTCCATGTTTCATTGCTGCACAGGTTTTATATATAATTGGACCTGTTGGCAGGGTTGAACCTTCACTGGAAGACCCTGATGTTGGTGAAGGCAACAGCACACTCCAATGAGATGCTACAGGGCACAAGGTCTTCAGAATCAAAGAACCAAGGACGTGTAGTTAGAAATATACCTATTTATCAAACCCAGTTGTTCTCCTATGACTAATTATAGAAAATAAAGTGATACTAAATCTTTGTCTGGCAGGCACATGAGATAGAATAATATACTATAGAAGTCATGGGGAACAAATGTTATTAAAGTTGCTTTCAAGGACTCGTTCTGAAATGAAATGACAGTAATGTCAACATCTCCAAACCGCACTCCTACTACTAGAAAGCTATTTCATGAATCTAAAGCCATACTGTCTAATAGAATCTCTGTAATGATAAAGTTAAAATTGCATTGAACTTCTACAGTGGCTAATCCTATGTGGCTATTGAGAAGCTGAAATGAAGACAGTGTGATTGAGGAACTGAATTTGTAATTATAATTTTAATTAATTAAGACAAATGTAAATAGCAACATGTGACTGGTGGCTGCTATGTTAGACAGTGTGGCTCTAGAGAAATAGATGGTAAAAATAAACAGGTTTGAAGGATGCTTTAAGGCAAGGTCTAGGCAGTAGTGGCCCAAAAGAAATGATGGTGGAGTGAAGGGCAGATTTCATTTGTTCATTTTTTAAGTTAAAGAATTTTATTCATTTGACAAATATTTGCTAAGGGCATCATCTAGTATGGAGACTACTAAGTTGGATGAAAGTGAGAATTTGGCATGAATAGAAGGTCATCAAACCCTCACTTGGCTGGTCTGTCTCTGATTAACCTTTCCTAAACAAAGACTTGTTTATATCCTGAAAGCATGCAAAGACACACTTGCTTCCAAATAATGCCAACTTTTAAAATACTGACCATCATCCATAATGCCAATGGTGACACCTTTTCCAGTGTATCCCAGCTCCCAGGCTTCTGCCACATTCAGATCCAGGCCAGGGGTGCCATCAGCTTGCCCAGTGTTGATCTGGTACAGAAATTCCAAAACAGAGAATCTGATTGGTTTGGTCCATTGTGTAAAATGCTTGCTTGACACTTGCAGGCCTATGATATTCTAGGGTCAACTCAGAGACCACTTCTTCCCCAGAGTGGTATGTTAGCACTCCCCAACCTACTTTTCCTGTTTATGCAAATGTGTAGTTTCAGCTACCCTCACCTCTTATGACTAGATTGAAGTCTTTAAACATCTTGGAGTTGCCACTGGAGAGACCCTCCCTAATTTAGAATGTAATCCTCACTCTCATGGCTTTATATTCATGTTTTGAGTTTTGCATACAATGCACATAGTTTTGCACATGTATTATTCTTGTTTTAATGTGCATTTCTCACTAAATAACAATGTTCTTTGCAAGAGGAAGCATGTCTTATTTCCCTTTGTAATTTCAATATCATCTGCCCAAGTCGTACCTGAAAATATTTGCTCAACTGAAATAAAGATAGCTAGCTCACCTTGAGGACATGTTCCAAGCTAAAAATAAAATACAATAAATTTAAACTCCTTCCTAAAATACCTTAAAAAGGAAGCAAAAAAATTAAAATATGTATGTTCACTATCCTCTTTTCATGGATCTCTGTCCTGTGTATATTTTCTCAAAGAAAAAATGTAAATAAACAGTGAAGTCAGAACTCATATTGGCTGAAGACCATGGCGATCCTGTGGCCATTGTGGTCTAACCTGTCACTAATGATCTTTATAGAAATAACTGTTCATCTCCTTCCAGATACAAGTTAACATCATACCTCTCCTTCCCCTTGGAAATGGAAATGGTCACAGCTCATGTACCATGAGCAGGCAGAAGCTTTAAGGGCCGCTGTGCAATTCATCTCTTCCCCTCACTGAGAAGCTCAGGATAGCTGGGGTTAGGATGGAGCTGAGATGGAGTTTGGTAAGTCTGAATCACGGAAGATTGTGAGATATACACTTTGATTTTGTTAAGTTGCTATGATTTGGGAATTGTATTATCCCAAAAAACCTAGCTTATCCTGAATAACATAAATAAGCTCATTCAGCTTCCCGGGTTGGAGTCCATGTCAAAAGTAGAAATAGAGTCAAACTGACACTCCAAGAGGGAAGTTTTGATGCATTCGTAGAATGTGACAATCCACAGGACCATAACTGAATTCCCCTCTGATTCATCACCTTTGAATCATAATAAAGCATCATCCCTATTTGCAAATTAGCCACTTTTTATCCTTGACATCCCCTGTAGTTTTCTATCAACTTGCAGTCACTGAGTCCCTTTTCAACACAACCACACTGTCCAAATGGATCATGAGAGTCTATTGGTGAGCAGAAACTATTCACTTCACCAAACAGTGTGTGCTTCCACGCCTTATAGCCTGAGTTTCTGTACCTCAAATCCTGCATCAAATAAACCCCATGGAACTGATTTCCTGTCATTTCAGGAACCACTGATAGATGGTACTTTTGTTTTTTTAGTCTCAGAGTGCTTTTCCTTGTCCCTGTTGAAGCCATATGATTCTTTCTATCATATCCTCTAATCGCTTTGCCTGTTGAGACACCTGGATTATTTTCTCCACACATTTCACCTATTCTGCAAGTTTTCGCCCATGCTCTGCTATGGTTTTCAGAGTCTGGGAGGATCTTATCAGCTGCTGGTAATGGCTTTGACCCTAAGAGATCATGACTATTTAACAGTTCCAGAAGAAAACAGATTAAAGAATAAGATGCATGCTTGGTGATAGTAAATCAATACATTTCAGAGGGGACAGAAAGGCTCATTGAGTTGAATGCTGGCCACCATCCCACAGCATAATGAGGAAGTAGAAAAACATCTTTCATCTGAGGTCTCATGATGAGAAGCATTAGGAAAGATGCAGAGATACTAACCAGATACCATTGCTTTGTAAAAAGAGGATCGTTCATGTTGATGTCGATCTCATTGATGTCTCTATACCCTCGCTTTTTTCGGTTGAATCCTTCCTGTTGCAAGGCCATCTTTATCTGGAATGACAATACCAGCATATTACCTTAATAGCAACCTGAATGTCACTATGCTGTACTTCATTTCCAAAAATTCAAATTCCATTTGTGTATAAGATGCTTTTTTCTCAGCAGAAGCCAAGATAATTTCACATACGCTTTCACTTTATGATGCTTTTCCAAGAGCATTTATTTCTGCTTGAGTGGAACAAACAGACTTTGGTGATGGCTCCAACTGAGTTTTCTTAAAATAAGAATTAGGTGGGAGAATATGTTCTTGAGGATGAGAAGGTGCTAGGGGTTGTTAAGTGAATTAAGCTAAGCAACAGAACACTTCTATTAAAGAGAGGAGATTGGTGTGGCTGCAGCAAGGGAGAGCATGAGACCTGCATAGATCATTTCTCTGGAGGGTATCCCAGCCTTTGCATTTGTCAACAGTACTGTGCTATCACACTTGGGAATCAGCCAAAAACAAACAAAAAGGAGAAAAACTTGCCAGGAGAGCCAGTAAGTCCATAAGAAAGCTCTGGAAGGTAAATGAGGGACTTTGAAAGAGGAATAGAGAGCTGGTTCAGCTATCCTGGCAATGACAACATGTCATTTCCAATCAAAAGTCGGCGAGGACCCCAAGAACTTGCGTGGAAAAGAGACATAGAAATAGACTTCATTTGAGTCTACCCTGGCAGTTGCGACCCTTTGTCAAGAAACGTTCACTTGTGAATAACTTACATCTGATGGTTGTGTCCAGCCTTCAAACAACTACCAGCTCAAGGACTATGCAAGTAGGTAAAATGGTGTGTGCTGGATACTCATTATTCTATAAAATTATATTTTGCAGTATCGATTTCTTCTTTTCTCAAATCACCCCAGTAAATTTGGGAATTAAGCCAACTCTGATGGGTTCTGTGTTGTTAGGAGTGAAATTTGAGGGATCTGTCTCAGAGAGACTCAGTGGGTATCTCTCTCCCACGACTGGGGTCTTGGGAAAGTGGTGTGGGGGGACGGAACCCTTGGATATTATTTCTCCCAGAGTTCCCCTCGCCAAGCTCTCTTTGCAAAAAGAACTTCTCTATCATTTCACGCCCAGTCCTGGTGCTTCCCCAGGATTCACACTTTGGCCTCCACAGACTGAGACCTCCAAAGATCCTTCTGACAAATTATCTTTTGCTTAAATCATTCAAATCAATTTATGTTGCTTGCAATCAAAATTTTGATACAAGATGAGAGAAAGACAAGAGTGTCTGTGTCAAGAGTGAAGGCAAGAGTAGAATGAGGAAACCACAGACAGGGCTGGAAGCTCTCCATACCCCACTCTGGAATGAGGGGGAGGCCATGGGAGTATAGTACTCCACTTCCTTGCTCTATATCCCCAACTCAAGAGGATCTGCGCCTTGTTTGCCATAAAATCTCTTAACTTTACCAAGAAGTCTATGCAGGTTTTCCCTGCTATCTGGAGGTAGAATATTCTTATTTGTTATGATTCAGTAAATTATTTTTGAAGTCTGGGAATGGCAAATATATTTTCCTTATGTGCGTGTTTCTGGATGTGTGTGTATTTCATAATGTGGATCATTTAAAATGCTGAAACAAATGTAGTTCTTAATATGGAAAGACCCTGGTGTACTCCTCTGAAACCTTTTACTAGGGAAGTGGGTGTTCAAATGAGTATTTTTTTTTAAGACTTACTTATTTATGCATACAGAACTTGGGTATAGGCCAGAGGGGCAGGGGCAGTGAGAGGATTCACCAGAGACAGAATGGGGAGCAGGACAGGCAGATCAACAAAATATACTGCTGAGGGGAGCAGCGTGCGGGTTAGGAGAGATTTGCCATCCTCAAATGAGTATTATTTTAATTTGGGAAAGGAGGATCCTGAATCTGGCCATTTGGTAAGTCTTTGGTAAGTCATCTGCCCATTTTGATCTCACAAGGCCTTAATCTTCTCTGCTCTCAAGTGGGAGGCCTTGATTGGCTTATCCTTTTGATTCATTGTCCTGAGGGACTTTGGCTTAATAGAATTGATAGCTTCTTTCATTTGCTAGGACCTTGGCTAAGAACAAGCAACTACCGAATGGAATATGGAAAAATCATCCATGGGTTATTTTCTAGCAGCATAAGGACAAGAATATTAACTTCAGATTCTATCTTTTTGAATAACAGTGCTGGCCTAGCCATTACCATGATCACTCCTAATTCAATTAAAGCAAGTGCAGTCTAATGAAAAGGCTGTTTAAATTCGCTTCCATGAAATTAATTTTTAATTCCATAAATCAGACTTTAATGGAAACCAGTGATGCTTTGGAATGCTACCCTCTCTGGATATCTCCCCACCTTGGAACCCAAGAGCGCCAAGCACGATTTAGGTGTCTGCAATTTTGTCATCTTGTGTTAGTAAGGATCAGCAATCCAAAGATTGCAGAGGGCTTCCTGAGTCTCTCAGTTTCTCTTCCTGTCTTCAGTGAAGATCAGTCACAACTTCAATAGCAGTGAATACCTTTAAAACATATATTTTTACCTGTTACATACAAATAACAGGAGAAAAGTTTTTTTCCCCCACAATGATACCAGGTAATACCATAAATAAAATACTTTTATTTTTCTGGGTTCTTAACTAATCCAAATTCACATTCAAGCCTAATTTTTACATGACAACTGTCATGCTGTAGATGAAATTATGCATTCTTTCCTCACTATATGTCCCACTTTAAGAATTCTAATATACTGCTCTCTTGCTTTCATATTTTAAATTTTAATGACTGATTAAAATTTAAGATACCACAATTTACCCAATAATCCCCTCTGATTGGTGATTTCGGTTGTTTTCTATTATAAATGAGATTGCTATCAACAGAGAGATGAGATTATAAACCACATTTAAAGACTTCTGCAAAGGTTTCAGTGTTTTAATTCATTGTATGATAAAGCTCAATGCCAGAGAAATATTTCCCAGCGTTTATAATCTTCCCTCTTATTATAACTAAAAGGTCACATTTATCCTTTTTTTTCTTCCTTTCTGAATTGTAACCTTTCACACACAATACCTTTCATTACCATTTAGATGTGGTTCCAGTGATATTCATAAACTTAACTATAGCTTCTGCACTTCATTTTAGTATGCTTCCCAAGTTGGTCAATTCACCTAGATATTTATACAAATAAAAAATATAGGAAAAGAAAAAATATATATAGGAAAAAAGGGCTGTTTGTAACTGGTATTGTTTATTAAAAATGAGTATTCTACAATTTTATTTCTTTTCTTTTTTGTATTTATAACTTGAAGTAATGTTATATAAATAAAAATATAGGAAAAAGGACTGTATTGTTTTATTTAAAACGAGTATTCTACTCTTCTATTTCTTTTCTTCTTTGTATTTACCACTTGAAGTAATGTTAAAAAATATAAGAAAAAAGGACTATTTTACTGGGTATTGTTTTATTAGAAATGAATAGACGGCCCCTCCCTTGTGGCACAATGGGTTAAAGCACAGCACTAAGAAGTTACAGCAACTTCAGCATGAGTTCAATCCCTGCCCGGGAGGTGACCCACATGGCGTGGCAGACCTCTCCTGGCCCACCCGCTGCTCCCCTCAGCAGTGTACTTCATCGATTTGCCTGTTCTGCTCCCCACTCTGTCTCTGGTGAATCCTCTCACTGCCCCTGCACCTCTGGTCTCTACCCCAGTTCTGTATGCATAAATAAATAAATCTTTTAAAAAAAATGAATAGACGAGCATTCCTACAGTTCTATTTTTCTTTTTTGTTTTTTCAAGGTTGAAGTAACTTTGGTTGACACCACTCCATGTTCTAGGAGCACAGGCTCAACTTCTTCTAAGGTCAGCACACCACACCCACCACGAAGGGACCCAAAAGTCTCCACCCCAGCCCACTGGAGCCCCTCCACCTTTTGCCCCACAGGCCTCTTCTAGTCATGTCAGTTTTTCAGTAGAATTCCAAGGTGATTGTTTTGATTTGGTTTTGTCTGTTACTCTGCGTGCTTTTTATTCCAAATAGGAGTGAAATTATTTGGTACTTCACTTTCTCTTTATGATTTATTTTGCTTAATATAATCTTTTCCAATTTCATCCATTTTTTTTTCTCAGATAGCTGAGCAGTATTTCAGTGTATGTACAATGTCTTCTTTATCGATCACTTGTTGTTGGGTACTTAGGCTATTGTAAATAGCGCTGCAATGGATATAGCCCTGCATGTATCTTTTTGAATTAGTGTTTTTATGTTCTTCAGTAGATACCTAGGAGTTTTGAAATTGTGAGGTTATATGATAGATCTATCTTTAATAGTTTGAAAAATCTCCATACTGTTTCCCATTGGGGCTAAGTCAGTTTACATTTCCACTAATAGTGGAGGCAGGTTGCATTTTCCCCACATCCTTGCCAGCGTTTGTTTTGTCTAGGCTTTTTGAAATAGCCCACAGGGGTGAAGTGGTATCTCATTGTGGCTTTATTTGCATTTCCCTGATAATAAGTGATGATGAACACTTTTTCATATGTCTATTGGCAATCTGTATTCTTCTTTTGAGAAGTGTCTTTGCAAATCTTCTGCCCATATTTTGATTGGGTTAGTTTTGTTGTGGTTGAGTTGTCTGAGTTTTCTTTCAATAAATCTTGCATATGAACTACTATGTCAGATATAGTGTATGCAAATTATTTTCACCTGTTAGTAAGCAGTCTTTGCATTTTAATGATAGTTTCTTTCTCTGAGCAAAAACCTTTTATTTTTATGTAGTCTATTTGTTTATGTTTGCTTTTATTCCTTTGCCTTTATAATCCAGGTCCTAAAGACATCACTGAGACCAATGTTGTGGATTATTTTGCCTGTATTTTCTTCTATGTATTGTATGACTCAGGTCTTCCATCCAAGTCTTTAACCCATTTTGAACTACTTTTTTGTGTATGGTGTGAGATACACATTTTTTTGCATGTGGCTGTCCTGTTTCCTCAACACCATTTGTTGAAGAGACTGTAATTTCACTATTATAGTCTCTTCACTCCTTTTTTTGTAAAT